ACTCAATTGTCCGTCTATATCTTCAATCTCTCTGTCTGCTATTATTTATTATGCCGTCACTTCATTTGCCGGCTTATAATATATATGTAGAGAGAGAGGGCGCGTAGAGAATACTGGAGTTACCACGAACAGACATGATCCTTCTAGAATATCATGACGTGTTACTAGAATCACGTGACTTCCGCTGTCGTAACATTATTTTATATATTTTTGTTTTTACAAGTTATTATTTTTATGATAAAATGTTTGCCTTAAATTTTTAGTGTCGACTATATCAGTTTAGTGTTTGTAACTTGCATATTGTTCTATACTGAAAGGAATTTATTCTGTATTGAGAGCACTGCTGTAAGCTGTCCCTAGGTACAGGTTTTACATCATATTTCCTACAACTTTCCTTAAATGTGACTATTTCTGATGTTCTTTGATGTGGAAGAATTACCTGTACAGACTCACATCTTGCAACGTCCCCGCTCAGCGGTAAGTCTGATGGATCACGCCTCTAAAAATCGAATTTTGATGTTCGTAGTGAGCACAGCACAGATAGCCTATTTTGTAGCTTTGCACCTAACAAAAAACAAACGATGTTCAATCCAGATTTAACGCAAATTTTATGTTTCATTGTATTCAATCAAATTTATTTTTGTTTTAATTTTCATTTCAATATTGCATCTCTTTCTCCTAACTCTTCCCATGAAATTCCTTCTCTTACATCTGGATCATCGTTAAATTTTCTGTAAATTTGTTTTTGATCTTCTTTTATTTTCTATCTCTTTCTCCTTTTAATTTTCTGTAAATTTCTTCTTGGCCCTCTTAACATTTTCGTCATATACTTAAAACTTTATCTGCTTATGGATCAAGCTACCAAGTTGAAAAAGAGACAAGTAATATTTTATTCCACCAAAATAGTCATACTTCTGAAATGAGTATTGTGATGTGGTTCTTACATTAGACAGGTTTTTAAATTAACAGGTAAAAATAATTCGAAGTCCATTCCACATAACAATAATAAATTGTTTTTAATTATACACAAAGCTACACAAGGGCTATCTGTGCTCTGCCCACCACATGTATCGAAACCCGGTTTCTAGCGTTGTAAGTCCGCAGACATATCGCTGTGCCACGGGGGAGGGCAATAAATTAACTAATTTCTTCCTTAACATTTCTACAAGCTGCCTTCACTTGTACACTGTTGTAACTTTACAAATGAAGCTCAAACGAAAATACCTACTAAAGTACTATGACTAACTTAAAAATAAACTTATTTGTACGTTTTGTATTCATGATGTTAGAAAAACACGTAGGTTCAAAAAGTCTTGATAGAAATGAATAAAAACCCTATAACCCGAAAGCGCTCGGGTTATAGGGTTTTGTACATATTTGTAAGGGGTAATCGATCGAGTAACTGATTATATCCAATATCTAACACTGATTAAAATACTTCACTAAACTAAATACTTAACTGAATGATTGGCATGAGAAAAAAAAAAAAACTGACTCGGTGCTTCACTGATGCCTACTAACCTATTAGCCCACTCTTATTTATGTCTGATATCTCACTTCTAGATATTTTTTAAATTAACTAGGTTTCAGTGATGTCATTCAGAACATTCTAAGGTCATTTTAACATTGTCCTCTAGCTAAAATCTAACTTGAAATATTTAAAATATAGCTCACAACAATGTTATAAAAAAGTTACATATTGATATTTAAAAAATGCAAGCTTAATAGCAGTATACATATGTTAAGTGTCTTGTGATTTTTTTTCTTTCCTCACGCTTGTATTTATAGAATCCCTCGAGTTGGAAACCCCGACATGTTCGCTTTTTAAGCCGTGGGACGTTATAACGAAACAGTCAATACCAATTTTCGAGTAGCCAAAGAACTGGCGATGTGTAATGTTGAGTAGCTGCCTTCCTTCGATTAATATTGTGTGAATTTTAATAAAACGACAACAAAAGCGTATCTACAAGGACAGTGCAAGTTTGTCTCTTGTCCTTGACCTGTAGATGTTTCTACAAAATATGTAGCTATACTAGCGCCACTATTTATATCCTTTATATCAAGCGGAAAATGATAATGCTTTTTAGTTATTATTGTAGATACGTGAGAAGGAATGTATGTTGTTGACTGAGATAGTTAGACTGTAAAGTTAGGTGTAAGTGTTTTTGCAATTATAATATATGTCTGTTGGGGTGGTAAATATTGTGAAATTTGCTTTTAATGAAACAACATAAATTGTAGCACTATAAGATAATTCATTTTACTATGCGTAAGTATCTGATTCCAAATTCTACTTCTAAGTTCTAGGGAACATGACTGAAAGTGAAACTTGCTAGTTGCAGTTGCATTGGTGAAAAACTAGAGTACAACTACAAGTAAGAGAGAAGGGTTCTGTTCATTACAAAAATGTATTTCATTCGAGAAAAGTTCAGAGGAGGAAAGTTATTGTAACATGCAACTCTATAAAAGCATTACTTATTACTAACAGTAACATGTATCATAATCAAGGTAATGTTACTACAATTACATAAGACAAGTTATTAGTAGTAATACTTTTTAGGTTCTTTATGGTATTTTTAATAATTTTGTAATATTTACAATACAAAAACTGCTTGTGGCCAAATTTAATATTATGATTTAACACTTCAGAGTCATACAAATTACAAGCCATAAGTAGTCTTTATTTTTACTAGTGTTAGTTATTGATAAAGGTGAGGAAAAGATTTATAAATTACTCAGTGTTTGTAACTTGTAAGGGTGAGGAAGAGTTTTACGTAAGTTCTATTTGTGATGAAGAAATAACTGCATTGGAAAAGCTTGAGAATAAAGCTCCTATCCCAGACAAGATTTATCCTTATGCTTTAATAAAACTTAGCAAAGAGAAAGTGAGGGCCCTTAAAACTGGAGAAGTTCCTGTTACTTTGAAAATTGCCAGTTATACCTATTTTTTAAAAAGAAAGGCTCTGGGGAAGAAGATCCAGGAAAGAGTTGTCCTATTTGTCAGACTTCTTTTATATTTGAAATTTGTTGTGAAAAGTAATTTAGAGAAACTTTTGTAAAGTGATTTTCTTGATAGTTTTATAAAAGGATCTCCATACTCTACTAATTTGTTGGAATGTTTTGACATGGCTTTGAGCTTTTCAGATGAAGGCATTCCATTTGATGGGTACTTTAACTTTCTGAAAGCCTTTAATAGAATATTTCACAAAAGACATTAGTAAATTGGATGCTTTTTAAAGCTGGACAATTATTAAAATTTGCTACATGAATAATTGTTGAGCTTGTCACTCAATTGTATTCATATGAGATGGCTAAAACAACTTATAACACTAAAATTGTGTTAAGATACTTACATTGGGCAGAGCACAGACAGTTTATTATGTAATTGCACAATAGACAAACATAATGGTACTATTTTGATTACTTGTATAAATGGAATAATGGAAAATCAGTAATAATCATAAACTCTAAAATAAATGCAGTAGGGACTTTTTGTAATTGGCTAAAACAAAATGCTACAGCCAAATTCAAACAATTTATTATACTTTAACAACAACATAAATCCAAAATAAAACTTTCAAACAATTTGAATGCAAATTTTATCACATACAAAAAAAACAGTAAATAATATGTGTTTGACCAGGACTTGATACGAATGTTAATAAACAATACAACATAGATATCATCAGTGTTATTAATTTCAAAAAATAAAGGAATTAGGAAACAGAACTTGAAGAAAAAAACCTAATTCAAAAAAAAAAAACTAATTCCAAAAACTTGCAGATCAAAAACAATATTGACCAATAATCAGCAATAATTTGTTTTAACAATATCTTGTGAACTTACTCATTGAAGATCAAGGAAGGGTTTTTTATTTAGTGGTTAGACCAGGAGGTTACATCTCATGTGACTAGCTAATTTACATAATCTTTTGCAACATTAACTCCTGTATGTTACTGCTAAGGGAAACTTGTGTCAGTTTCATAATAGAAACATACTCAAATTCAAAGTGCTCTAACTAGAAGGTGAGTTAGCACTTTAGTATAACTAAATATTCATAGTTTTAACTAAATGATAGAGGGAATAATAAATTATTGGTAAAAAAAACAACATAACAGAATAAATGTATAATTCTCTATCTCACAATGTGTTCAGAATTGTAAGAGATTTGGATAAGTCTTCTGAATGATAGAATGAAAAGGTTGGAAAGAAATGTAAATATTAGTGATAATACTTGTGAGTTAAGATGTAGATGTGTTCAATAGAATTTGTTTTTGGTTAGTTACAAACATCTTGAATAGCTTGCCTGATGTTTTGGTTTGTGCTGTTTGTTTTAATGATTTTTTTTTCGAAGCCTTACATCTGTTTGAGACATGCGTTGTTGATATCACTATACAATGCCACAACAGAATTATGTTCCTAAATTCTTGCAATATTAATGACATCCAAATCAGACAAAAGAAAACAAGAGAGAATTAGTTAAAGATACACCTTAGAAAAATCATAGCTTAAAAATATGATGGTGTAAAATTTTTTCATCACTCTATATTTTGCCAATTTGTATTGAGGTACAAGTCTTTTTAATATTTGTGGTTTATTTCTTAGTGGGCCCGGCATGGCCAGGTGGTTAGTGTGTTTGACTTGCAATCTGAAGGTCATAGGTTCGAATTCCCGTCCCACAAACATGCTCGCCCTTTCAGTTGTGTGGGCATTATAATGTGACGGGTCAATCCCAGTATTCATTGGTAAAAGAGTAGCCCAAGAGTTGGTGGTGGGTAGCGATGACTAGCTGCCTTCCCTCTCGTCTTTCAGTGCTAAATTAGGAATGGCTAGCACAGATAGCCCTCGTGTAACTTTGCATGAAATTCAAAAATAAGTAAACAAACTTGATAATTTGATTACATTAAACTAATCAATTTTTCTCACGTGAGACTTGGATAGTTACAATTTTGATAATAATAGGAAACACTAACTTTTATTAGTTTATTATTTTTTTAATGTTCAGAAGGCTCTTGTTTGTTCTAAATGTGATTTCCTTCTTTGGTTGTTGACATTTCATATGTTGTTTAAAAGGGAGATACAAGTTTTCTATTTGTAAATAAGAAAAATTTGTATTTTGATATCCACAATAAAATCTTATGTGAACATTTTAGGTCAGTTATTCAGTTACTTCTCTTCATTTTTGAGATAACAGAAATAACTTTACAGTTTGAGATCCACAAAGATTGTTGAGCTAAGTGTTTTTTTTAACTGTTATTAAAACAGGACAAAACAGAACTCAATTTTTTTTTATGGTCAGCTAACAAGGTAAATGTGTGTCCAGAGTGCATTACATTGGGGATGTATTTTGATAATTTTAGAAACAAGTACATTATTTGTAGGTAAAAATAAAATGGGGGGGGGATGTAAAATGAGCATAAAAAATGAAGTAAAGTAGTGTGTTAAAGTTATAAGTTTAATCACATATAGTGTGAATCTTGGAGTGCTAGACATGCAATCTGAGGGTCGCGGGTTCGAATCCCCCGTCACACCAAACATGCTCGCCCTTTCAGCCGTGGGGGCATTATAATGTGACGGTTAATCCCACTATTAATTGATAGAAGAGTTGGCGGTGGGTGGTGATGACTAGCTGCCTTCCCTCTAGTCTTTCACTGCTAAATTAGGGACAGCTAGCACAGATAGCCCTTATGTAGCTTTGCGTGAACCTTATACCAAACCAAATGAATGTGAATCTTTAAATAACCTAAACAGGTGAGAGATTAGTAATATTGATGAGAATGACTTGCTGTATGAGAGGCAAGAACCCATTATTTTTTTTTTTTCATATAACTCCTTAACAATATTAATCTTAAGCTACACGTATAATGTAATCTTTCATGAATATATACGATTCAATTTACCATTCTTCTAAAAAAAAGTCAGCATAAAAAGATAGGCTTTACCTCATTCCAAAATAGTGAATATATATGCAGCTTGAAGACAGAAAATTGAAAATAATTACTTAAAAAAATCATCTTAAAACCAATATTCATTATCTGTTATTTGCTTTAAGTAACTTGAATTATGTTTTGTATTTTCCAAATAGATACCAAACACATTTTTATGCAGTTTTACAATATATTCAATATCTATAGTTGGACAATTTCTGCATATATATGAAAGTTAACATGCTGTCTTGATATGTTTTACTTCTACAGTTTTTATAGATATGTAATGCATTTGTAAGTTTGAATAATAGAAGAATTTGTTTTTATTTTGATGAAAATTCATTAGTTATAATGCATTCAAAATGACAGTAATTCAAAGAAGCTAATTCACAGTTATAACTGTTATTCATAAAGTTTTGGTTTATGTAGTAAGACTGTTTTGTTTTTTTAGGATGCTCGTAGCTGGTTTTACTATAATGTTTGTGTTGAAAAACCTATAAATAAACTTTCTTATTATTTGACATTTTCCTACACTAAAAACAATTAGTAAACACATTAATGTTTTTAGTTAATACACAAGTTCATTTTTTATAATTTAACCATTTTAGGAAAGTGAATAACGATGGCAGAGAAAGCCCACATAAATAGTATTGAAGAATGTCTGGAGAAGCATATACCTGGAGGAGAGTTAGCAGATATCAAGCGTATCTTGTATGGCAAAGAACTGCAGTAAGCTGATAGAACATTTATTTAGATAAATAATGTTGATTTAATTTACTGTGTATGTTTTACAGGGAATATAAAAGTTGTAGACAGCTTCTCTACTTTATTCATTGTTTTAGTTTGAATATTTAAGTTGGGCTGTAATGAAGGGTTGGTTTTGACCTTCAAAGGTTTAGAACACATTACTGAATGAAGATTTGAACCTTTGATCATACAAATTTGTGGGCCCAGCATGGGCAGGTGGTTAGGGTGCTCAACTCGCAATCTGAGGGTTGCAGGATCAAATCCCTGTCACACCAAACATACTCTCCCTATCAGCCGTGGGGGCATTAAAAAGTGACGGTCAATCCCACTATTAGTTGGTAAAGAGTAAGTAGCCCAAGAGTTGGCGGTGGGTGGTGATGACTAGCTACCTTCCCTCTAGTCTCACACTGCTAAATTAGGGACGGCTAGCGCAGATAGTCCTCGTGTAGCTTTGCGCGAAAATCTAAAAACAAACAAATTTGCGTAACTTAGTGATGATGTCATTATAACTGCTAGTCTATATTTGATTGAAAATTCTTTTATTTTTTTAGATAACTCATTTAAATTAAACATTCAAGTGAAGTTTAAAAATGAGTTATATAGAACAGTAAACATGTTTTTGTATCTTACATAATAATCCATGTTATGTACATGTAACCTTGCATTGCAATTACACTTTATTGCAACCAATTAAAGAACTGCAGCTGACTTAAACATATCATTATTTAACAGTCACTATTCCAAGCAGGTTAACAGTCATAATATTCCATTTAATGTAAAATTCTCGACTAATTTAACATATCTAATAAACATAATAATAAATAAACAGCAAAATAGAAGAGAGTTAATAAAAGAGTTAATAAAATAAAAGAGCAAAATAGAAAATAATTACAGATCTTTAATTATAACAAAAAGTTACAAGAGTTACAATTAAAATATGTGCTTTGGATAAAGGTTTCAATAAAATGAATAAATAAAAATAAACAGCAGAACAAAGTAACAGTAACACTTTGGTTAGAAAATAAATATGGACCTTTGTATTAGGTCGTCAAGAAATTAATGTCGCATTTTGGAACACTTTCATTAACCACCTCCCAAAAAAACGTATATCACATAGTTAAATGAACTGCCTAAACATCACATTAGTGTAGCTTGTATAATGTGCAAAGCTTAGTATTCTCTAACCCCTTATAGTGATGGCACATGATGAGTCACACACATTCGGCATGTAATTCTGTTTGAATATAAGAAGGGAAACAATGCCTCTGTAGCCACAAAGAATATCAAAGAAGTTTATGGAAATGTTTTGAACGTTTGTAAATGCCAACGATGGTTCAGCAAATTTTGTTTTGGGTGACTTTAGTCTTAAAAACTGTGATGGCAAGGGCCGACGTGTTGGAATTGATATTGATGCTCTGAAAATGCTTGTT